GGAAAGAGTAAACTATTCCGTGGTCACGTTTCAGCAAGTACGATCTATATACCAAGAGTGATGAACTTCCCAACATCGAGAAACTTTGGCCGTATTACGAGAAATTGATCGAGAAGTACATTCCGGGTATATTGGAATGGTGAGAATCTAGATCGTAGAATTTTGGACTGTGCGTGCGACGCGTGCGTGCGTACACAACAGACGAATGATTGATCATCGACCCGACCATCGATTACCGACTACTTGCTATTTCGGCTTCTGACAATCCAGTATCGAGCATCGAGCATGAAATATGGAATATCGAAGAACAGCCGAGCATCGAGCGATCGTCGCATATTCTTGTCTGGAACGACGAGAATAAAATGAGACGGATATCGTGCTTATTTTTTAGACGTTAGTGCGATAGGTAATTCTCTTTGCCTTTTTTTCGTCCGTTTTCGAAGGTAGAAAACTAGGGAAGGGAAACGCTGAGAAAGAAAGAAAGGGAATACGAGCGTGGAACAAAATGGTTACTCGACGAAAAGATCCGTATCTGATATGTAAAAGCAAGCGAATGAGTAACAGGAAAGAACGATGCTTTCGTAGACACGCGAGAATTTGACTCATCGGTCGAATGTTATGCGAAATCGATCAAATTCAACCGTGTTCCACTTGGGGAAGACGAGAAGAAGGGGAGCGAAGCGAAGCGAGAATGAAGGGCCAATGTTGGATTATAATTGGCCGATTAGAAATCGTTGGAGCAAGTGCGAGTATTTCCGAATTGGGAAAAAGAATGAAACGAAAAGAGAGACGGAAAAAGGAAAAAGGTAAAGAAAGAGGCGGGAAAAGTCCTATAAGCAACTACCAGTCGCCACCACCGTTTTCTTTCCCTCGTACCTCTCTTTCTCTCTCACACACACACACACACACACACACACGCGCGCGCGCGCGCGCACACACACAATGTCGCCTGTTCTCTTACACGTGTAGCCGAGGAATTTTGGCTTCCATTTGCTCGATGGAATGCATCGTTACCCTTTCGACGCGAGACTCGATAATCGATGACTTAAACGATTTTTGTGACTACTCTTTGTTTAATATTTGTCGAATAAAGAAATTTCTTCGTACAATCGAAGAATCGTCGTCCTGGTTCTTTCGCGTATACGTGTATTTGTATATCTATATACCGGATAAGATTCGCACAGCGAGATTTCGCTGCGGTGGAAAAAGTCGAGTCGAAGGAGTAGAAGATGTAGGAGAAAAAGAGGCGGAAGAGGGAGAATTCCTTGGTGTTACGTAGCGTGGTATCGGTAGTGCGCGTAAGGTGGTACGGGAAGCTCTAGAAACCACTATGGGTATGCGTGGTTTCGCGGGTAATCGAAAACGCGTCGACTTTTGAGAAGACCCATCGAGGATCGTCAAACGTTATGGAGCGGGGTTTGCCTAACCCATCGCGTTCCTTCGCGTTTCTTCGCGTTCCCACGTGCTGCGATTAACCTTGCGAACGAGTGGATATCGGACGAACGTTTTCGACCGTTTTCGAGCGTTTTCCGCGCGATTTCGAGGAGACACGAACGACGGAGAGTCGGGGACGGGAAAACGGAGAAAACGATGGAAGCGTGTCAGTTAACGAGACCGAAAAGAAATTGGTTCAAATGCAAGGTGTAACGAAAGCGAAATATGCATGTATCCAGTGGAGAAGGAAGGAGAGAATGAAAAATAGGAAACGTGGAAAAGGTAGGAAGCGTTAATCCCGTAACGTGGATGGCGTAAGTTATTCGCGAAAGAAGTCTCGTTCGATGTTGGGAACGGCTGGGTACCGCCCGAGACGCGTCGTTCCTCGAGTTCGTTGGACGCGAACGGGAAACACCGGTATGGGGCTTCTTTATTTTTAACGCGCGATTCATCGGCTTCGTCGCGGTAAAGATATTCGAGCGGAGACGGTAACGGATATCGATAACGATACCGACGACGACGATGACGACGACGGCGACCTAATCCGAACTGACCGATGCGTCGTCGTCGTCGTCGTCGTCGTCGTCGTCGTCGTCGTCGGAGAAATCCCAAACGGCCGAGTTGTTCGGAATCGTATCATATATTCCGCGCAGTCGACGTTCGTCGAGAATTTCCCATCAGCGGAAAATTCCTCGAAGGAGACGTGAATATCACGAGGTGGAATCCCAGGAGTTGGAGTAACGAAACGCGTAGGTCGCGTCCGTCGCGCGCCGAAGGAACTCTGGCCGCGAAATTGGCTTAGTCATCGACGTATTACTGGATATTACGGGATATTAGCGGGAACAGTCAGAACAACCGTCAATCCACCGCTTTCGTGGAGGACGTGCACGAGAGGCGAACAGGAAGGACCGGCCGTCCCCGGTATTTGTGAATCATACTCTACCTTGCCACTTTGCCGATCACCGGCTTCCAGGAACAAACAACGCGACGCGATCTGACGCGAAGTAAACCGAGGAGGAGTAGAAGCGTAACACGGCGCAACTAGAAAAGAGGAGGGGCTGAGCGGGAGGAAGAGGCGCGGCGCAGTGGGAGGCTAGGCCAGGCTAGGATAGGCGAGGCAAGGCGAGGCGAGATGAGGCGAAGCGAAGCGGACGCGCGTTAAACAGGACAAACCGAATAGTATCCTCGTTGGTAGTATTCGTGGACGAACGGTGCTTTCTCTCGCATCGGTTAACGTAGGGTTCGTAAAATCCTTCGAACGACGCGGCGTCTGATGCGACGAAAAATGAGAGGAAAAATGCGACGCGGTGGTGGCGTCGCTATCACGCGAACTTTTCGCGTTCCGCGAAAAAGCGTGCGAGCCAGGAGGACACGAACGGCCGCTTCTAGCGCGAATTCGTATCACCGATCAATCGATTCTCCGAAATCGCAAGGGTAGTCCCCCTCGTACGTTCGAGGCCACGCGCGTAATCGATCGCAATTGCGATCGCTGACATTTCGCTCGGCGAGATTACGCGTTTGCTCGACCGAGCGTTTCGAGAGGAAAAAAAGGGAAAAAATAAAAACACATGGCGTCATGGTAGGAAAGAAGCAAGCGTCGGTCGTTTCAAGACGACTTTTGACCTCGCGCGAGATTACTCCAATCTCTCTCCGGCTGACCGTCTCTCGATTTCCTCGTCGTCGTTGTTCCATTTAACGGTTCTTCCGGTGATAAGAAAGCACGGACTAAGCGCCGCCTTTGCTTCTGTCACACGGTCGCGCTTCACGTGTAAAAGTTCAACGGTTACCCCGTCAAGGGTCGCGTGCAATCTCGCGAGACAACGTGACCGTAACTCATTTGGGCAGGTTGCGTCGAAACAAAGAGCAATATGCCTGGAATGAATGAACGACGGCGGCGACGGCGACGGTGGAAACTATGAGACCGGTGGCAGTGGTCACGGTGTCGCGTACTGGATGTCGTGGATGTCGTGGATGTCGTGGATGTCGTGGATGTCGTGGATGCCGAGAGATTGGAAGCGCGAGCGTGCAGCCAGCCGGCGGGGAGCAGTAAACGGGATATATACGCGAGTGCGTGTTGCCGAGTACGGTATTCGGCAGTCGACGCGCGACGTCTGAACGGAGCGGGTTGTACTTGCTTGTTCCGGTCCATCTCGATCTGGCCCGTGACGATCGAAAACTTTGGCGCGCCGAACCGTGTTCGATATTTCCCGCCAACCAAAGGAGGCGAGGAAGCGAAGAAGAAGTAAAAGAGGCGCCTAAAATCTCCGAAAATCGTCGAGAATCGTAAATGTTGGATCGGTTCGTGTTTTAAAATGATCGCCTCGGCACTATCTCCTTTACCTTCCTCCCTCATTCTTTCATCCTTTTTCCCACACGGTTCTACTTTGTCTATTTTCTCATCGTCGTCGTCGTCACCCTCGCTTTTGCCGGTGTCGACGTCCTTGTCGTCGTCGTTGTCACAGACACCGTTACCGTCGCGTAAAAAGAAGAAACCAAACGAGTGGACGATCCATTGTGATCGATATTGTTTGAGATTACGCGATAAGAAAAGCGGTTGAGCGCGAGAAACGGTGGAACAAAGTGGGAAATCGAATTAGTCGGAGCAATCATCGTGGTATTTAAAAGTACACGAGAAGAGAAGGAGAGAGGGGAAGAGGGAGAGAAAGAGAAAAGGGATAACGAGACGATAGCGTGGAAATAGTCGCGCGTTGATTTAAAAGTCGCTTAAGACGATCGGTTGACATGTCGATCGACGTGTTTCACGATTGACCGAAAAGAACGAAGCGAGGCGAAAGACGGGAACAGGAGTGAAGGAAAAAGCACGGTGGGAGGTGGAAGGAGGAGAAAGAAGGTGGAGAAGTTGGAGGAGGAAAAGGAGAAGGTGGCGGTGGTGGAAGAAGAGGAGGAGGAGGAGGAGGAGGAGGAGGAGG